TCCAGTGGCTTTGTGGCACCCTGGAAGTCCAAGAGCATCCTTTTGGATGCTGAGAAGATGAATGATGTGGATGAGCAGAGACCAAAGGGTGGAAAAAGGAGTGGAGCAACCCCATGGTTCTTTCTTCTGCAGCTACACTGAATTTCATTTGCACAAGTCCCATTTTCAGTTTGGAACTGTCACAGCTGTTTCTATTGGCAGTGCATAGCTGAGTAGGAGTTGTCAGTGGGGATGCTGTAGGATAGGCGGTTAGAAAAGAGATTCCCCGGGGGGCATGGGAGGCAGTTGGAGGTTGTGGGCTAAATGCATTAACTAGATGTTTCTCCTAAACTTAACAGCAGTGAATGACTTAATGCATATTGATGCATTTAGGTACTGGAGTTAACACTATATTGGGCTTAAAAGTGTATTTCTCAGCATCTTAAGCGTGTTTAGTTGCAAGGACCTATCTCTTTCTGGCTGACACTAGGGTTTTATTCCCATAAGGTGATCTTCAAAACCATAACATCTAGCAAGAAGCTGTAATTCTGTTGCACTGTTGCAGTTATCCAAATGGATTCATGGAATTCCAGACCAGTTTGTGTTGGAAGGGACCTTGAAGCTCCTCCAGCTCCAACCCCTGCCACAGGCAGGGGCCCCTTCCACTAGAGCAGCTTGCTCCAAGCCCCTGGGTCCAACCTGGCCTTGAACACTGCCAGGGATGGGGCAGCCCCAGCTTCTCTGGGCACCCTGTGCCAGCGCCTCAGCACCCTCCCAGGGAAGAGCTTCTGCCTAAGACTGAACCTAAATCTCCCCTGTTTAAGTTTGAACCCATTACTCTTTGTCCTACATCACTCCTTGATGAAGAGAATGTACAGATTGCATCCATACAACATCGAGGTCTTAGCTACACCAAATACCAACCCAAGAGAAGCTCTGGATGCATTCACCTTCCCAGTACATGAAGGTTGTCCAGCTCCACAATTTTCATTTACCTGTAATTGGTGTTTCTACACAGAACCAGAGCCAAGTTCCAGTTTCTCTTGCATTACTTTAAACCAAGTATAAGTGTGAAGCAGCTACAGCTGATGTGATAAGGTGGCTGCGTTTATCTAACACACAGGGCTTCAGTTCTGCTTGAAAACTAATTGTAAGTTTAAGCCCCTTTAGAAGAGTGGATCAAAGGCGGCCAGTCAAGCTCCCATGCTAAAACAAGTGCTTAATAACACATCAGCTCTCTGTGTTTGCTCTCTGACTAAAGAAAAAGGACTGTGAATGTGTGATTAAGGGCAGAATTTGGCTCATTTACAATTCCTGAAAGGGCTGCTGCTCAGACCATACTCATATTTTTGGAACAGAACACGCCTATTACATCTTGTTGTTAATAATTTACTCCCTGGGTAGCGCTCCTTATAACAGCATCATCTCAGACGTGTCATGTTCATAGCTGCTTCACATACTGTGTTTATGAGAGAAAGCAAATACACACATGCATGCAGAGATACACATGTATGTGCATAGAGAGATCAATGTTCCAACTCTCCAGGTCATAGAGTCATAGAATCACAGAGTGGTTTGGGTTGGAAGGGACCTTAAAGCTCCTCCAGCTCCAACCCCTGCCACGGGCAGGGACCCCTTCCACTAGAGCAGCTTGCTCCAAGCCCCTGTGTCCAACCTGGCCTTGAACACTGCCAGGGATGGGGCAGCCACAGCTTCTCTGGGCATCCTGTGCCAGCGCCTCAGCACCCTCATGGGGAAGAGCTTCTGCCTTAGATCTAATTCAAAACTCCCCTCTAGTCTATGAACTTAGCTAAATTCATGGACCAGTGATGAGCAACCAAGAAGTCACACATTTTGAGAAATGCTCTTTGCAAGGAAACTCAGATTTCCTATCCAAGAATGTGAAGAAATGGCTCTGGAGAGATTGTTTCAGAGAAATCACTTGCTCTGCTCACTTCAGCATCTCCACAGTCACCAGCAATGAGATTTTGCAGGATCTCTTTATGCTCTTTATGCACACACTCACACAGTAATCCCAGAATCCCAGCCTGGTTTGTGTTGGAAGGGACCTTAAAGCTCACCCAGCTCCAACCCCTGCCATGGGCAGGGACCCCTTCCACTAGAGCAGCTTGCTCCAAGCCCCTGTGTCCAACCTGGCCTTGCAAACATATTGCAAGTAATGAACACAAAGACCACTGGAAATCTGCTCACACCAAGCTGCTCTGGAGTCCTTGGCATCGACAGATGTGAGGTCCAGCTGTGCAGGTGGAGCTACCTCCAGTTGAGCAGAGCTGAGATCCCAGTAGGTTATGAGCTCCACCACCAGCGGTACTGGTTTCTCTTCATTGACACGAGGCGTGGGCAGGGAGCCTCATTCTGTTTGATCTACTAATCAGCACTGAGTCATGTTTACACTGCAGATAGCATTTCATCTGCTGGAGAAGGTCATTCTCAAGTGATGCTGGGTGGTTTCAGCAGTGCCTGATGCCTGCAATTTGAATATCCTTCTGAAGGAAGGCAGACCTTCATTTTCCTCGTGGGCTAGAATTCATTCAGCTCTTAGCAGCGACACAATTCTTCATGCTATGGTATCACATACTAGACATTATCAATTACGTGGTACCCATCAAGCTAAAATATAAAGTCCAAAAGACCTTCCGAGCTTCAGTTTTAGACAAACTAAGGCAACAAATTACTACTCTTCTAGAGCCCAAAGTGCTGAACTCTGAATAATTCAGACTCTGGTACTACAACTATAATTCCCATTGATTTCCTTAGCACACACTTCCTATTTCAGAGAAGCGATGCCTACAGAAAACATTGGAAGTGGACAAAATGCTGAATTCCAAAACAGAATTGCAGGGTGAGTTTCCTGTCTATGTTGAATGAATGGTTTGGTTTGGCTCAACACATCAGCAGTTAAGAAGGGAGAAAATACCCAGTGATGGCTGCTTAAGGCTCGAGATGACACCAAGTCTGGGAAAGTGGTAAGGAATTAAGAGCCCAGGTCACTGAGACCTCTGGACCACACGGTGCTGTGGAACAGAAGTCAATGAGCATCATATTATGGTCAAACACAGAATTCCCTCTGGGCACAAAGAGTGTGTGTGCTTATGGCATGGGGCACCATGTGGGGGGGAATGGTGGCAATGCCCCTCTGGGGTAAATGAGGTTGGTTGTACCTCCCGTGGTCTTGCTTCCCTGATTATCTTGCAAGAAGATTTCCCAGGAAAAGCCTTCTGCTGAATGAAGCTCCTTTCCCTGGATATAGGAGCATAATAACTGGAGCATTCCCTGGAATAAGAGCATTCTACAAGCGATGCTCGATGCCCAGGTCTCCTTCAACAGAAACTTTGGACATAATCCAGGCACCCTGAACGGGTTTGAGACCTGCAAATACTCCTCAGTCTTTCATAACTAAAACCTTTGAGGAGAGCTTGGGCTCACAGCAAAAAACTGATGGACAGGGAGCTAAGGTTGAGCTCACGCCAAAATGACTAACATGCTTCTGTGGATGTATGAATTCAAGCAGGCAAATCACATTGCTCCTGCAACTGGTACTTGTGCAACTTCTTACTGGAATACTGTGTCTGGTTCTTATGGAAGGGCTCCAAAAAGGATGTTGACTAATTAGAAAAAGTTTAAGGAAGAGCCATATGAATCATTAAAGCTTCAGAAAACACGTCTTTTAGCAAGAGACTCCAAGATTGAGACATATTACGTCTCTTAAAGAGAAGACGAAGGGACAGTTTTATCTCAGCCTGGAAATAGCTAAGAAGGACAACAGAAAATCTGTAACAGGTTTTTCAGTCTAGCAGACAAGTGTACAACAAGATTCCCTGGCTAGAAGTCATGGATAAACCCGTGAAATGAATTCCCCAGTGGAGGCTGGCATACCCATTACTGATCAACTCTTCAAGGTGACACAGACAGAGCTCCAGCAAAGTCCTTTGCTCTGTTTGATAGGGGTTTTATCACTTGGTAATAGGGACCCTCCCAGTAAAGGTACACACACACAGTCTGCAAATCTATCTGCTCCAAACAGTCAAAATGAATGGCTTACAAACAAATGCCCCTTAGCAATGTATTGAGCTAACTTGGGTAGATTTCCCTTCTGTTGCCTCTGTTCACCCCCAGGCTGTGCCTTCCCAGAGCCAGGCTAGTAGAGGAAAAGGCAGAAACCCTAAAAGAAGCTCTGGAAAGCACATCCACATCACATGTACATCCCAGGCTCTTTGCTTAATGGACAAAGACTTGTTTTCACTGTGTTAACCCCGAGGAAACGCCACTGGGATGGGAGAGGGTGAACAGAAACACGCTCTCTCCCGTGGAGCTCAGCTCTGACTGAGCTCCTGTCCCCAGACAAGACAGGATGAACCCAGCTGGAGACTCAGAGTCACCCATCAGAAAAAACAACATCCCTTCACTTGTGATCTGATCAGCTCTGACCTGGGCATCACTAAAGGGGGACAGGATACCCACTGTGCTACACTGGCGATCAAGCAGGCAGGACATGATCTTCATGTGTTTAAACCCTCCACCTTATTGCAACCTCTGCTCCCCGATCCCTCGTGTTTTGATTTGTCCTCCATGTGGGAGAGGCCTGGAGCAGGTCACCCTTGTGGGAGAACAGTGGATGCAATGGAAGGAAGAAGGATCAGAGGATCACCCATGACCATCCCTTGTCTGTGAAAGGTGTATTTGCTGGGTGGAACAAACTCTGTTCACTTCCTCCTCTGTTTGCCTGGAAGGTACATCCCACCACATGGTCCAAACGCTGGTTAGAGGCATGGAAAAGCTGTGTGATATTAGTCCACATAATGTGCTAACAGGAGGGACTAACATAACCATCACTTGCCAAGTGAATCCGTGCTTGTTCAAGCAAAGAAGACAGCAACCAACTTCATCCAAACACGGAGGAGTCCTGATAGGAATGGGACTATTATCCAAGGAGGCAAACACACAGTGGCATTGCTGAGCCCCCCTGAGATATCCCACTGCAGTGACCAGACTCTACTGACCTCAGACATCTGTGGGAAGAGACTGATGGCCAAGGGGAGGGCCAGGCCAAAGGCCGCGAGGCACACAAGGCTTTGGACCGGGAGAATCATCCGGGGACGGGACCTCAGGAGTGATGTTCTGCAAAGGAAAGGCTGCATTAGACCATTTCATAGACCAGATGAGGGCATGCCATCATCAATGGACACTGGTGGCCACCAGGCCCCCTGGTGTCACTCTCTAACTGGTCTAGGTTCCTTCTCAGTAGGTCAGCAATGAGTTCACCCACAAAAGATCCTGAGTCCTGCATATGGCGCTTTTAAATCCGCTGGGGCTCCACAGCCCACGCCAACCTACATTAAATCAGGATCGTTTCGCACACGCTTCCCCCATTTCAAACCATCTCGACCTCGAGTAAATGGCACAGAAGGTGATATTGCCACACGCAGGTGTCACCTGCATTAAGGCTTTGGAGACTACACTGAGTGAACAGAAGGAAATGAAGTTCTGGAGAGATAATGTGGACTTTGTGGCCCTACCAGCAGCAGTACTGAACAGGCACACAGCTCTGTTAATGGGGTAATAAGGTAGCAAACTTGACAATACCTTAATTTGTTAAAAATCAAAGCTCTGTGGAGTCAGTGATAAGGATGTTTTAACACTGCTGTCCCCAGGAGATATTTATGAGTTGCTAAGAGCAAACACTTTCAGATACCTGCAAGGTTAGGTTCTGATAATGACCCATTAGTGATCCTTCTGATGCCATTAACACCAAATGACAGGGACAACATTTAGCTGACTTAGGTGGCATGTTAAGTATATCCCAGGATAAAAAAACCTCCCACAGTTAAGGAGAAACATGTAATGGGTTTGTTCTGAAGCCGTTTACACCAAAAGGACCCTGTCAGCCAACTTTCCTCTACCAAACTGAAGCAGCTGGGAACAGAAATCAACAACTTGATAGTGAGTTTGGTTTGAATATTGAGTGTTCATTAGTGATGTACAGCCAGCAGACTTGGTGCTGGGTCATCAGCAAAGGCCTTAGTCCCAGCGTGCATCCCTCCCCATCCTGACTTGGGTACATTGGGTGCCAAGCCCAACACTGACCCAGCTTCAGTGAGTGCTTGAGCCCAGAACCCCCCATGTGCTGGGCTGCACCCCCAGAGCGTGAGCAGCAGCTCAGGGAGGGGATCCTGCCCCTCTGCTGTGCTCTGGGGAGACCCCCCCTGCAGCCCTGATCCAGCTCTGGCGCAGCAGCACAAGAGGGACGTGGAGCTGTTGGAGCGAGGCCAGAGGAGGCCATGGAGATGCTGCGAGGGCTGGAGCAGCTCTGCTCTGGAGCCAGGCTGAGAGAGCTGGGCTGGGGCAGCCTGGACAAGAGAAGGCTCCTGAAGGGGAGACCTGAGAGCAGCTCCAGTGCCTGAAGGGGCTGCAGGAAACCTGGAGAGGGGCTTGGGACAAGGGATGTAGGGACAGGCCAAGGGGAATGGCTTGAACCTGCCCGAGGGGAGGCTGAGATGAGCTCTTAGGCAGAAGCTCTTCCCTGCGAGGGTGCTGAGGCGCTGGCACAGGGTGCCCAGAGAAGCTGTGGCTGCCCCATCCCTGGCAGTGTTCAAGGCCAGGTTGGACACAGGGGCTTGGAGCAAGCTGCTCTAGTGGAAGGGGTCCCTGCCCGTGGCAGGGGTTGGAGCTGGAGGAGCTTTAAGCTCCCTTCCAACACAAACCAGGCTGGGATTCTATGATTCCAATCTCAAGGATACTGACACCTCACAGTGTCCTGCCATCAAAAACGGGCCAAGATCTGCTAGTTTCCGCTGGGATGGTAACACAGGAGCTCCCTTTTGGCCACAGAAAGCACAATCAGATTACACCAACCGCTAAACATCACTGTGGTTACCATCACCAGGGATGCAGAAACGCATTCCTAATGCAGCATGCACCTTTCACAAGGTGCCCACCAACGCCAAGCCGAGGAGCCCTCCCCACACCAGGGCAAGCCACCAGCCTGCTCTGGCACACGTGGTGCTGCAGGCACCTCTCCCCAGATTACCTCAGCCCCCTTCTACTCCACGTTTACTGCAGGCTACAAACATGCACCTGATGGATTCTAACGGAGCAGCTGATGTGTGGGAACTTGTTACCCTGCTGCACGGTGTCTGTGTGTCTGAACATTCAGACTCTTCACCCTTCGCTAGCAATGCTTGCTGAAAGCTGTCTTCATCTTGAGAAGGTTTGGGGGAAGTGGGGAAGGGAAACAAGATCCAGAGCCTTAACTCCTCCAATACCCCAGCTCCTCATTAATAAGCTCTCAAGACGGAGTTGATCCTACCCATTTGTGCTGTGAAAGCCAAGCTTCTGTTCTCCAGTATTCAGCTGCTTTGCACAGAGCATGTTCTAACCCAAAAGCCTCCTGCAGAAGTCCACAAGGATTTTGTCTGAGTCAGGCAAGCAGGTTACCTTGCTCTGTGCTCTTTAACAAACGCAACATTTGGGAATTGCCATCAATAAGCTGTGATCACCAGCCCCTGGGATGCTGACGGGTAACTCTCGGAACTGATTTATTCCCCTGCTTAAGCTGTTGTGAGCCATGAGAGCCCTCGCTGGGCAAATCCTATGACCAGCATCCACCCCTAGAGCACAGTTTAGAACCAAAGTGTCACTGCTTATACCACCCCTGACATCTTAATTTGGAAGCTGCACCCTCTTTAATTACCGCCCTGTTGGGGACCTTATAATCACCCAAGGCAAACCTCAACCAATTTAAACTGATCCCAGGTTCAGCCCCCAGGTGTGATTTCCAGGAGCGCTTCAGACTCAGGCCAGTTCAAATAACAATGGCCAAGCTCTTAATTAAGAAGAGTTATGGCTTGATTTAAAGAGGAGAGGGGATTAATTAACACATGTGGTGTAATGTCTTAATTGGGCTTCAGAGCCTGGATTTTGTGTGGTTCAGAATAAATGATTCATAATTAGCCAAAAGGTCCAGTTTGCTTCTGGCCCTCGCGCCTTCGCTCTCCCTGTGCAGAAGAACACGACGTTAAATATTGGATGCTGCCTTTTGTTAGCTGTCAGCTGCAATCAAAACCCAATCAAGCCCCCCGTTGGAAGTGAATGATTAGAGGTCTGCAAAGGGTTTCATTGCAGAGTTTTCTGGGAGATTAAAGATAAATAACATTAATATCCATTTGCTGAAGAGTGAATTAGTTTACAATGCTGTCCTGGGTGCTCTGACAAAGGGTTGGATCAGGGAGGTGGAGATCCGGACCTTTAGATTCCTCCCAACAGCCCAACTTTGCTGTTGGCATCTAAACCAGACAGCTTTATTCACAAGAGCAAACACCATCTTCCCCTACCAGTAATTCTGCAGAAGTACTTGAAGCTACTTTCATATGAGAACATGGACTCATGAACTTACGGACTGTCCCCATGTACACAGGACAGGACTGGCCAAGCCCTAGAGAATGAAACCTTGGTGCTCAGATTGAAGCACCAACACAAGGCTGAAGAGTTAGCACCCAGAGAAGGTCTCATAATGGGAATCTGCAGGAAGACAATAATACAGATGTTTCATCCTTCCCAGTTTTAGAAGCCAAATTTCTGGCACCAGTGGTCTGCTTACTGTAAGTGATCTCAGTGGTCTCCTCGTGTAAGTGATCCATGTTTATGCATCAACTTTTGGATGGCAAAGAACATGCATTTTTGCAATACTTCATCTAATCCCAGCCTGGTTTGTGTTGGAAGGGACCTTAAAGCTCCTCCAGCTCCAACCCCTGCCACGGGCAGGGACACCTTCCACTAGAGCAGCTTGCTCCAATCCCCTGTGTCCAACCTGGCCTTGAACACTGCCAGGGATGGGGCAGCCACAGCTTCTCTGGGCACCCTGTGCCAGCGCCTCAGCACCCTCACAGGGAAGAGCTTCTGCCTAAGAGCTCATCTCAGTCTCCCCTCGGGCAGGTTCAAGCCATTCCCCTTGGCCTGTCCCTACATCCCTTGTCCCAAGCCCCTCTCCAGCTTTCCTGCAGCCCCTTCAGGCACTGGAGCTGCTCTCAGGTCTCCCCTTCCAGAGACTTCTCTTGTCCAGGCTGCCCCAGCCCAGCTCTCTCAGCCTGGCCCAGCTTTCTCCTTCCTCTCTCTTTTTAGCTCTTTTTCCTAAAGGTTTGTTTCTTTACCCCTTCAAAAGCCCCTTTATGGCCATTCCTTCAGCAATTTACCCTCACAAAATGTGCCTAACAGACATTAAAAAGGCAGCAACACACTGGGAAGCCTGTGGCTCACTAATGCTATGGAAGACTTCCTGTTATGGGATACACCTAAACCAGCTAGACCTTCGGGATAACATTTCCATATGCATGAGTGTGCATGTACGTAGGTATATCCACACAACACATACTTGTACAGACAGTACATCTGCTCCTCGGAGACAGTGTGTTGTAGAGCTTGTAAATACACCTTCATTCAACTTTCATCACATTGTTCATTAGTGGCTTCAATTTTGCATAATTTGGCAGCTGCCTCTGGCGTTTTTCAAGAGGTGCTGTAATTTATTCCATATGGAAGTCAGTTGCCACACTCAAAAGGAGTTATCGGGTTCAGTGAACCAGAGCTGTATTTGTCTAGAAAGAGGTGTCAGATGCTAAACTCAATCTGACAGGAGTTAACCAAAGTCTCCCAGCTGACAGATTCTGTGGGGTTTCTGTAGTGTTTGCTATAAACAGGTTCAAAGCTAATACATACATTGCAAGACGATGCTGGCGGGGTAAGGAAAAGTGATGGAGATGAAGCTTGGGGTGCCCCGAAGCATCCCGAGCAACTCAGTGCCTTCAAAACCCCTCTCTGATGTGCAAACAAACTTCGGGGTTGTCCCACCCCATATCCCACCTCTTCAGAGAGCCCCTCAGGTCCCTCTGCTCTCTGCAGAGGGTCTCTTTGAGCTTTTCCCACTTATTTTGGGTCAATTTGGGAATCCTGAGCTCTTCCAGCAACCAGCAGCTCTGTTTGCCGCCCCGGCCAGCTTGTCCTCACCAAGGAGCATCTCCCGCTCTTTGCTATAGCCCCAGTGCCCCCTCCAGAGGACACAGCAGCTGCGAAGCGAGCGTGGTTGGGGGGATTTCAGTGCTTGATTGACACCATTAAAGAAGCAGTTTCAATGTTTACTCTGGAAACAGCCACAGCAGTTTAAGGTGTCGCTGCTGGCAGCTGCTTGAGTTTAAACAAACCTCAGCGAGGCTTCAGCCGGACGGAGGCACTTTGTGCTTCCAAGCGGGAGAAGCACCTGTGGGAAATGCTCTGGAGAAGGGAAATATCCCCTCAGGAAAAGGAGGTCCAGGAGGGCCTCTTCCCTATGCCCCTTTCCGCAGTGGAAACCATGGTTTAAGTGGAAGGAAACAGCCTTCCAGTACCACAAAGCCACGGGCTGAGCGCTCGTTTATCCTTTGGTCATGGTGAGACCGACTTAGCCAAGCCAGAGCAGCTCTGTAATGGTTGATCCAGCCTGGGAGCATCCCGATTTTATGAGTTTTACAGGAAAACAGCCCCGAAAACAACTGCTGCATGAGGATGCTGACATGCTGGGGCAGCTCTGCTACAAGATCAGGATGCTACGGACATGAAGAAAGAGTAGAAACACTCCTCTTTTCTGGGCAAAACTATTCTGCTCACCTCTTCTTTCTTGCCCATTGTCAATAGTTCCAGGTTTATCTGTCCTCCATAGCACCACACAGTCAGCTCTAGGGCCTCATCTAGCCTGATATACATGAGCTGTTGGAGCCCATCATCAGACCTTCTGCTGTGCTTCAGACCCCTTGAGGCTGCTCGTACTGGGAGGCAGAGAAGAAACTTTAGGATGAGGAGATAAGAAGAGCTTATGTTCTTCAGTCTCCACTGCCATTAGCTCAATGTGCCCACAGCAGATACTGCTCATCACTACTTGTCCATCACTTATGCAGACCACACGGATCAAGTACCATTGGGTTTGGGCTCTCCCACCACAGAGCTCAGCCTACAGGGGAACCTGAAATTACACTTACACACAGACCTGGATGGTTGACACATAGACGGGCTCAATGATGCAAGGAGTTGGAAGCTGGACAAAGACTGCTGGAGAAATCTTGGATGATGGCTGGGAGACACCAGCCCCATACCCCAGATTTCACCATAACCACCAGACAAAAGGATTCACAGAAGCATCCAAATGAAGGGAAAAGTCTGAGGGACAAGAAGTCCAACTTAGAGTCATAGAATGGTTTGGGTTGGAAGGGACCTTCAAAGCTCATCTAGTCCAACCCCCCTGTAATGAGCAGGAACATCTTCAACTAGACCAGGTTGCTGAGGTCTTCATGCAGTGGATGTAGCCATCCCCATATCCCTGTGATATGGCAGAAACTAATGAAGTTTCCATTGTCTGCTCCAAAGTCAGCTACATCCCATAGAGACGTCGTCTTCGTCTCATAGACGATGCAAAACCAATATTTCTCCATATTAAAGTTGCCAACAGGGATATTATTTATAAAACCTCAATGAGAATACATCTGCACAAAATAACTGACACCGTGTTCCCTGCATGGCATATGCGGGCTCAAAATAAACATGGATTCTATATGTTAGCTGCTTCAACAGAGCGTCCAAGCAGCAGGAAATGCATGAAACATGGGGAAAGAATGGAGCTCAGCAGTGGGAGGTAACATTGAATTCCTTGGAGAGCAGAGAAGGCGGCCCTGGGAGTTAAAATACACAGCAGGCAAAGAGACGAGGGAAGCCAAGAGAGCTGAAAAAAAAATGGCACAAGAGACGAGAGAGGCAGCTGGGGGAGTTAAAACATGCAGATGGAGAGATGGCTGAGAGCGAGGAAAGACCTGGATCCAAGTGGAAAGACGGCGACCAGGAACTGGCCACTTAAAATAAACTTTTCCCATAGGGAAGGAGTTATCCACGGGTGGGAAAACCGCTGCTGGGAGCAGGGAGGGTGCTCCTGGTGCAGTGCAATTCCCCCCACACACACACACCCCGAGTGCAGCGCTGGCACCCACAGCCACCCCGGCCTCAGCGCAAGGCAGGAGAATCGCTCTCCTCCTTCCCCACATCCCCAAGTGGGAATGACTTAGGAGAGGATCCAGATTGCCACTTCTGATTCCAGATCTCCAAATAATAAGCCGTCACTCTCGTCTTTCTCATTATAGACACTGTAAGGATGTCTATAAATAAGTTGATAATGCATTCCTTGCTATGACTCCCATGAAAAACACCCTGGGCTAACTCGAATTCTACTGAACTAAAAAAAAGTTAAACTTTTCACCAAATGCTCCAAGTTTTTCTCCCAAAATGAGGTTTCACCCCTGCCTGTGCCCTCCAGTAACCACTTTAAAAGATACACGAGTTGAGACCCGGACTGAGAATCCTTCAGCTATGGAAAGGGATGCTTTTCGCGTCAGATGGATGCTTTCATGTCCTACAGCGGTACCACCAGCTTCAGCTGCGTGGCCAAACTACACCCCACTCCCTATCCCTGCTGTTTCTCACTCACAGGCTTCCAGGAATCCAAAGGGAGACCTTAGAGCAGCTCCAGTGCCTAAAGGGGCTCCAGGAAAGCTGGAGAGGGGCTTGGGACAAGGGCCTGTAAGGACAGGCCAAGGGGAATGGCTTGAACCTGCCCGAGGGGAGACTGAGATGAGCTCTTAGGCAGAAGCTCTTCCCTGGGAGGGTGCTGAGGCGCTGGCACAGGGTGCCCAGAGAAGCTGTGGCTGCCCCATCCCTGGCAGTGCTCAAGGCCAGGTTGGAATCTACCCCTGCTCCTTGTGTGTCAACAGCAGCCATCTCCAGACAGCAGAAGGTGTTACCAAGACTGTGCCCTGCTGCAAGGAACCACCACAGTCCCTTTGGAAAAGAGAGGGAAAACAGTGTGTTTTGGCTCCAAAGAGCTGAAAGAACTTACTTTACAGCTCCCAAGACAGAGTTTGATGCCCTGTTTCTCCCCACATCCAGGCCATGGGAGGAACTGACACTTAGGTGCTGGATGGATACCACACTGTATCTATATATTTAAATGCAGATGCTAAAAATCGGTGCCCAACTTTACAGAAGCAGCTCCAACCCTTCCCTTCAGGAGAGAAAATTGCCCAGGGGTGTTTCTACAAGGATAAACAAGGCTAAAAAAGTTATGGGTCAATCCCTAACCCTACTAATTGCTATTTACATTGTCAGTGGAGTGCTTTAGAGCAGCCATTACCAACAGCTTTGTTTAGAGAGTGCTTCCAGCTTGGCTGTCAGGACAAAGGTAGCAAGCCCTTTAGCATCCCCATCTTTCAATGCACTAATCAGTCTCCAGAGGCTGGCAAAGGTGATCCCCACCTCATGGATCATTCATGCCGACTGAGCTGCTGATGGGTGTCCTAAAAGAGCCACAGGCATCCAATAGATCCAAAGAGGCTCAGAGCATCTCTGGGCAGAGGAGAAAGAGGTGGTGCTGGAAAGGAAGGTGGGAGACTGGCCAATGGACAGGGCAGTTTGGGGGGTTTCCTATTAAGAACTCTGATAGGAGATAACTGGATATGAAATAATAACCCTGCCCTTTCCTGTCCACTCTCCTAGTACTGAGCAACCTGCTCCAGCAGAAGGTGTCCCTGCCCATGGCAGGAGGTTGGAACTGGATGATCTACCTTAAGGTCTTTTCCAACCCAAACCATGTTGTTATATATGATTCTACGATATGTTCTTCTGAGGAAGTCCGAGCCACAGGAGTTCAAATAAGGCCTAAGCAAGTCCAAAGGTGGCCAAGGTGGTCTGGATGTGGTGCACGGTCAGCAAGTCCCTACACTCCCTATCTGGCTGAACACAAGCCAAGACCCTTTAGTGTGACCCCATATGGCAGCTCTAATGTTTGCTAAGGAGAGAACTGAAAACTTAGGGATACTTCTCCACTGAATTCAGGGAGTTTTGGCTCACCCTGACCCTATGGAATAGGGTTATGCAAACTGATGGGGACTCAGAAAGATGCTTTCAAATAACAGCATCACTATAACACTTCCAAAATGGTCAAAAATGATGGAACACAAACATTTTAATAAGCAAAATATAGTCTTTGATGCTTAGAAATATCAATGAATAACATCAACTGTGGCTCTTTTCTCCCTTCCCATTGAAAAACCCCCTCTTTGTATTACCCCACACTTACTTTTCCAGTATGGACATTATAATTGGAGGTAGAACCAGTATAGGCATTGGCAGAACCACTCTGGTCAGGGCTGTTTCTAGCAGTGCCTGGAACAGGAAAACAAACAAACAAAGCCAAGACACTTAAAACCCATCTCAGGATGTACCTGGGCTGAGCAAGCAAGATGTGGACACAGAAACGCTTTGGCTGGGCTGTCCTGCGTTGATGTGAATGAATGCACCAACACACGCTTTCAACGGTGCTATCAGCTATTGGGATACAACCTCTTTTTGCTCTGTTGATAGAAACGAGAGGCTGGAGCCCATTCCACAAATGCAGTGGAATAAACAGACGCTCAAGAGCTTCCCTGATTTCAGTTTATGTGACCAAAATGCTCAAACATCCCATCTTATCCCACAGAATGGTTTTAAACTGAGAGACTGAGATGAGCTCTGAGGCAGAAGCTCTTCCCTGCGAGGGTGCTGAGGCGCTGGCACAGGGTGCCCAGAGAAGCTGTGGCTGCCCCATCCCTGGCAGTGTTCAAGGCCAGGTTGGACACAGGGGCTTGGAGCAAGCTGCTATAGTGGAAGGGGTCCCTGCCTGTGGTAGGGGTTGGAACTGAATGAGCTTTAAGGTGCCTTCAACCCAAACCAGGCTGGGATCCTATGATATTCCTACACAATCATGTTAGTGCTGCCTGGAGAGGCAAAACAGCTGCCTGGAAGATGCTGTGAGGTGTGATATTCAGCTCCTCCCTCGACTGAGATTTAATTTCAGTGACGTGCTGGGGGCCCACAGCACCCTATTCTCTGCTCCAAGATTTGCTGCTGCTTTTTAATCACTGGGGGTTTATTAGGAAGCATTGTAACACATAGTCCTCTCTTCTCCCAAGAAGACACCCAGCTGTGGAGCTATGGTTGTCCATCCACCGGTGCTTTCTTCCTAGTGAGATAGATACACCAAGAAGCAGCAAACAGAGCAGCCTGATACATATAAGTTACCCTGAAATGAGTCCGAGAGAAGATCATGGTCACTCTAGCAAGGTGCAGGACCACCACTGTGTCTTCATTTCCATCTTCCAACCACCTTTGCCAGCACCCAACTGGGATGCTCCAAGCTCTGCAACCACGCATGGGGCTTTGGCAGACCCAGGCAGAGGACACTGGATTTTGGATGAAAATGCTGAAGATCATGCAGTACAGCCAGGCTTGGGAGCACTCAGTCCTTCCAGTCTAGGATTAGGTCTCAGAGAGGCACAGATGTATTCACTGAGGCCAAATTTTACATTACAAACCCCAATACTAAGCTATTTAGGAAGAAGCATTGGGATTAGATGGCAGCTGGGCAGAACTTCTCAGAAGTCCCATATTTGATGTTTAAACTCCACCTAAACCCCATTTACAGAACCTGCACTTTGACTACTTCTTTTCCATGTTGTTTTCTTCCTCTCAACCATTAGGATGGAGAGGGGAAAGCTTGGGTCCTGAAGCCAGTTACTGGAAGTGGGGAAAACTGGCTCAAGTAAGTATCTCCAAGCCCTTCAACAGATTGTTTTAATCTCCCTGTTAAACAACAATATGGAGAGATATTAGAGATCTCCCATTTCTCGCCGAGGACTGTAAATCTGTACATTAATTGCTGTCTATGAAGAGCCTTAAGAGCCTTGGACAGAAGGAGCGAGAGAAATGCCAAGCATTATATTATTAACTCCTCTGCCTGGGCGTGTGCTTTGGTACATGCTTTACATTTCAGATTAAAGCCCACTTGGAAACAACATGTCTCAGACAATCAGATGATGCTCAGAAGACAAAACTATGTGAGGATGGAAGAAAAGGGGATGATTGCAGGCAGATGGCAGCGTAGAGGGTTACAGGGGAAACCAGACCAGGTGTTAGGATGGGGATAACAACATCTGGCTACCCTCCCAAAGCTTTGTTCATGCAGTTTTGACATGGCGAGGGTTAAAAAGCTACTCAGCTCCAAAATGAAGTCTTCCTCATTTAGAAAAAGGTGTAAGTTATCTTCACTTCGTATTCAACATCAACTGCTTACATGTTTCCACAAAGAAATCCTAAGGCTGTGAAAGCAGCGGGGTAGTACAGGATCTTCCTGATGTCAATCTGCACCCTTCCAAACCATCAGGGTGAGCTGAATTTGCCAGCATGACATGAGCCTGTGTCCACTGGCACACTCTGTTTGGCAACTACACAACTGCACGTGTGGGTACAATGCAGGCATTGAGTTTTGATGTGTCGTTCTCATATCATATCATATCATCCCAGACTGGTTTGGGTTGAAGGGACCTTCAAGCTCCTCCAGCTCCAACCCCTGCCACAGGCAGGGACCCCTTCCACTGGAGCAGCTTGCTCCAAGCCCCTGTGTCCAACCTGGCCTTGAACACTGCCAGGGATGGGGCAGCCACAGCTTCTCTGGGCACCCTGTGCCAGCGCCTCAGCACCCTCACAGGGAAGAATCCTTTCCTAGCATCTAAATCTCTTCTATTTGCAGCTCTTCCAAGCCATCCGCTCCTATGGCTGTGGGATTTGTTAAGCCTGAAAGCCAGTTGTGTCCGCGCTCCCCCAGGCGCCCACCAGGAAGCTCACAGGTACATACGTGTTTTGCAGCAATCCTGGAGGACCCGACAATGTTTCCATTACTGTCCAAAACATCAATTCCTTCTTCCAGCTCCGTGTGCCTCATCAGGACAACATTGCAGATATTGGCACTCGCTGGGGATGAGAAAAGCAGGATGATTAGCAGCGCGGGCCTGGTCAATACCAAATGGCAGGCTTCTGCTCGCCGCGACAGCCCTTCAGCTTCGCCTGCCTCAATCTGCCGAGGAGTTTCTGCAAGTCAAGGAGCCACTTTTACACCAAGACTAAGATGTGATTCCCAAGAAGAGAATAATAACCAAGAGCATTTCCTTTTCCTCGCAAAGGGGTCTGCTGCCGCAGTCAGAAACGTATTGATGCGAAGAAACACCAGTTCCAGAGGCTGGTGTTCGCACAAGCTCCCACCCTCCATAGGGATCCTTCACCCACCACATCAATCTACTAAGTCAAACAGGTCCTTGCCCTGGGCTGCCAGTTGACTGCTGGTTGACAGCTGCCTTGTCTTATGGTGCATCCCAAAGCTGGTTTTAACTCCCTATCCTAAGCCAGCAGATAAACTCTCCTTAAATAACGGGTTTTAGCAGGTATGCTGGAAATACATTGCAAGGGATTCCACTCAGCAACGAAGGTGAACTTAGATCTGAGCTCTTCAAGGGACAAACTTATGGGTTTTAATCAAACAGGACACGGTTGGGTTGGTTCCATGGACACATATCCCATTAGTGAGGGTCCTGCTGACTATTTGCCCTTATTTCATGTTTTAGGGGAAAAATACCTCTGTGGGCTCAATTTGGAGACCTGTTTCTTTGCTTTAACAATATTGATCTGAATTATAACACAAACCAGGGGGGGTTGGATCTGCTTCCCAAGTGGCATTTCCCACATCTCAGCCCTGCAGAGGTGGGAGCAGAGCTGGGCCCTTCCTGAGACACCCCCCCCTCACCCAGCCTGTGGCTTCTCTACCCTTCTCAAGATGATCCCAAATTCTCCTCCTTGAGAAATGAGTTGGAGATGTGAAACACCTTTCCCAGGTTCAGCTCCTCTCCGGGCCTGAGGCACTGCTTCCGTTTTCCATAGCAAAGCTGCTAATTCCTATAAAACTTGAAGTTTGGATAAACTGGCATCTTCCTGCATCACCCCCCTCCCCTCCCCAGCACATTTTGTTGCAAACTTTCCAACCAGAACTAATACAAACCCACTGTTGCTGCAAGTACCACGGCTTCCAAAAATGTGCTTCTGCACTGCTTGATGGGTTAATATTCACTAATTAATCTCAATTCATGTCATATAACAAATGTCTAATTTTTTGAGGGTGGTGGGTGGGTGAGCCCTATAGCATCGCAGCTCGCGGCAATCAAGGCTGATTTGTGGTGACAAATGCTCCTTACACTCGAGAAGAAGAGGAACATACACACACGCACACTCTGTCTCTCTCTTTAATATTCAAACTACCAGACCACTCTTCCCATCTATCAAAATATCTGTGTTACCAACCCTCCAGCTCCTTCATCCTGGATGCAAAAGCAAGCAGGCAGCTCATTTAAAGGGAGTTTAGCCCCCCTCCTTTCTCATTTCTCTTCTTTAGCACTCACATGATGCGTCCTTCTAGCTATCAGTCAAGACTGAACACATGAAACCATGCCAGCAGAGATGCTCTGGCCGAGGCAGGATGCATCAGAACAAGGCTCATGTGAGACTCATGATGGGGTGTGCAGATCTGCTGCTTCTACCAAAGCTGGAGGCTTCTCCAACTCACTGCATGTTATTAGGGTTCATAGAATCCCAGACCAGTTTGTGTTGGAAGCAACCTTAAAGCTCCTCCAGCTCCAACCCCTGCCACGGGCAGGGACCCCTTCCACTAGAGCAGCTTGCTCCAAGCCCCTGTGTCCAACCTGGCCTTGAACACTGCCAGGGATGGGGCAGCCACAGCTTCTCTGAGCACCCTGTGCCAGTGCCTCAGCACCCTCACAGGGAAGAGCTTCTGCCTTATCTCTAACCTGAACTTCCCCTGTTTCAGTTTGAACCCATCACCCCTTGTCCTATCACTGCAGTCCCTGATGAAGAGTCCCTCTCCAGCATCCTTTAGATGCTGGAAGCTGCTCTGAGGTCCCCACGCAGCTTCTCTTCTCCAGCCTGAACAGCCCCAATGTTCTCAGCCTGTCTTGACCCAGCTGGATGGAGACCACAAAGCTTTGATGCATTCCTCCAATTCTCCAGCTTCTATCAACCGAGCTCAGCCCAGTGAGAGGGATGCAAGGCAGAACCAGGGCTTAATGGTTGTGGAGCGAGAGCTTTACACCAGCTTTTTTGTGTAGAGAAAGTGAGATTCTGCCCTTATGCAGGGAGCTGGTGGGTCAAAAGCAATGGGAAGATGCATCCTAATTAAACAGTTTGTCCAGGTCTGCAAACCAGTAACTCGCAGCTTTCAAAACCCCACAGCAGCAATTAGTGGGAGGATTCCTGATGTCCTGGCACATAATGAAGCATGAGAGTACACAAATAAAATAAGCACCAGAGAATTAATTACAGGCTAAACAAATTAATTACGGGTCCTCAATCAATGCCGCCACAAGCAGAACCTCTTTCTCCTTGCACCTTGGGATGGAAGTAGATCAACCCCGTGGCGAAGGCTTCCCACGTGCACCTGTGACTCAAACCCAGTCTTGTGCTCACCTCTAGTGCCCTTCTAGTTATAGAAATCATAAGAAAGCCAAAAGCTTCTAAAGAGATATTCCAAGGAAGCTTTGGGAAAGCAATAATAACATCCATAGATGTGCAAGCAACGTGCTCAGAAACAAGATCGAGTGCAATCACTGACCACAATCCCCATCACCTCCTGCTCTGCGGGCAGGGCAAGAGGCTGTTTTTCAGGCAGAAAAGGGGAAAAACCCCAGCAATGCAGGAACTGAAGGTTGGAGGGTCAGAGCAACCAGCTCTCCGTAACACAAGGAGTAAAAAGACCAGTGAAACTGAGAGCAGCAGGTAGGTGAAGACGCTCAGCATCCTCAAGCAAAGCTCTGAGGATATGGCCCTTGCAAAGGAGAAAGCTTAAAGGGAAGTTGTGCATTAACACAGTTGAAAAGCGACCTGCAACAGGGAGCAAAACCCCTCTGATCACTGATTTCCTCCATGTTTGGACCATTTTTGCACTATCTTTATAAACAAATACATTAAAAAATCACCCTAACTCCACTGGTGATTTCTTCGTAGCCACAATAACTCACAATAGACCTTGCCCCTCAAGGCTCTGTCCAACCTGGCCTTGAACACTGCCAGGGATGGAGCATTTACCACTCCTTTGGGCAACCTGTTCCAGTGTCCCACCAGCCTCAAGGCAAAGAACTTCTTCCTTATATCAAGCCTGAACTAATCCAACATTCTAACTACAGGCTTCAGCAAAGGATGAGTCCAGCATGTCCCCTCCCTCCAACATGGAGCAGTTTGCTGCTAAAACACAGAAGGGTTTATTTTGTGCTGCAATAAGGCAGCAGCAGCCTTAATTCTTCACACACTTCAGTCTTTTTTTGATCAGCAGCTCCTAGAAATCTGTATATTCAGAGGAGGAGCATTTCATTGCATTTGTATTGTAAAAACCCCTAACGCTACTGCTTGTTTCAAGGTTTGATTTGACATGATTCAAACCAGCTCTTGCAGATTAAATCCGCTTGAATTTGGATGATCGAGGACCAGTCAACACTGATCAGTTTGTAAACTGCTTGCGAGTGGAAAGTGCAGCTTGAGAAAGCCTCATGAGCTGCCTCCACCAGCAGCTTTGCATCATTCTCCTGCCAAAACGCTGCTTTGCACCAGCCTGTTGCTGTCTGCACCAAGTCAGGGACCTCAGCTTTATGGTGGCATAAAGCAGGAAGGATGGAGTTAGGTGTCCTTTAGCTACCACTAGGTTTACAGCCAACACTTTGAGTATAGAGAAAAGGCGTCATTTCTTACCGACAGCAGGGAATGGCACAAACCTCTGGATCAAGAGACGAGTGGCGGGGGTAAACTTGTTTGCTCTCTGAACCAGAACATTAAGGCCCACCTTTGAACAGAAGAGAAACAAAACAGAGAAGCAGAAACATTTAGCTACAGGGAGCAGGGCAGATGCCACAGTTTGCAGGCAGCAGCAGAGCTCTTCAAGGGTCTCTCCCCATGCAGAAGCATGTGAGAACTAAACACTCCACACACCGCAGGGTTTAACTGGGCTGGGTTGAACCCAACTGTTGGGCTTAAGTGAAAGGTTGAACTCAACTGTTGGGCTTAAATGAAGGGTTGAACCCAACTGTTGTGCTTAAATAAGGATTGAACTCAACCATCGGAAGGATTGAACCCAACTCTTGGGCTTAAATGAAGGGTTGAACTCAATCATTGGATTTAAATGAAGAGTTGAACCCAATGCTGGGCTTAAATGAAGGGTTGAACTCAACCATTGGATTTAAAAGAAGGGTTGAACGCAATGCTGGGCTTAAATGAAGGGTTGAACTCAATCATTGGATTTAAAAGAAGGGTTGAACGCAATGCTGGGCTTAAATGAAGGGTTGAACTCAACTATTGGATTTAAAAGAAGGGTTGAACCCAATGCTGGGCTTAAATGAAGGGTTGAACTCAACCATTGGATTTAAAAGAAGGGTTGAACCCAATGCTGGGCTTAAATGAAGGGTTGAACTCAACCATTGGAAGGGTTCAACCCAACCACTGAGATTACATGAAGGGTTTAACCCAACTGCTGGATTTAGATAAAGGGTTGAATTCAGTCATTTGGCTTAAATGAAGGGTTGAACCCAACCATTGGGTTTAAATAAAGGGTTGAACCCAACCATTGGGTTTAAACCCCTTCCAGCTAAAAAACGAGCTAGAAATCACTGCAACGCCATTCAGTCCCCCTGGAAATACCCCTAGCTGCATTTTTACCCAGTTCACTGGCATTTTCCCCATCCACCACAAAATATCTGGGGTTGGAAGACCTCATCAAGCTAGGCCAAAGGCCAAAGGTGGTGGCTTGCCCAACACAACTCATTCCTCCTCCCAGGGTCTGTGCAAAGCACACCACCTCACTCCAGTGCAAACACTTGGGCTCTAAAGGAGCTATTACTAGAGACAAAGAGCCAGCAGGCAGTTTATTATAGCCATGGATCATTTCTTGTTGCCTCCTCCACCACTTGAATAATGCAGAGCTCTCCCCAGCTTTGCAGGGATTTAAGTCATTGCGTTATGTTCATAGAAGCGGCACAGAGAGCCGCTGCCTCGTCAGCCTCAGCGTGGTTGGATAGTAGCGATAGTCAGAGAATTCCCAGCAAAACTGGTTTCAGGCAGAGCTGGGGTTATTAACTAAACAAACCTCTTCACAGGGAATGACTTTAATGTCTTCAAATTACTCTCCCTCACAATATTTTCTCTTCCTCATCCAAATGCGCAAACAAAATCCCAACAGCCCCCAAGTGGGGATTATTTCAGGCTGAAAATGGGACAGTTTTCAGCCAAAAATGCAAAAAAATTTAAAAAAATTAAGAAAAAAAATCAGCCAAAGCCAAAAACCTGCCAACAAATAGTGATTTGGGGTCTTAAAAAAAGGGAAAAGAAAGGAAAAAGAAGAAAAGGAAAGCAGGGGAGAACATATTTTGCAGGCTGCTACATTATACATGCAGCCGCAGCGCATCTCGTCTTTTTGGAGGCTGAGAGGATGATGTTGAGAAGCACAACTGCTGGGTAAGCCCTGCATAAGCAGAATGCTGGTTTGCAAAACCCATGGAGCATTTCCAAAGCCCCAGGAGGCTTTCACCAAGACCCCAAGCAGGATCCTTCCTCCTCTCCTTGGCCACTATGACTGTATGGGCGAGCCCAAACGAAAGCACAGTGGTGGTTCTGAAGCTGGGTAAGGATGAAGGCTTTGTCTTAATCTTCTTCCCCCTCAAAAATGATTGATTTCTAGTATTTCTTTTTACGTTTTCCAAGTGCTGGGATGCATATCTGCAAAATCTGAATGCTTCCAGAAAGTACAAAGCGCTCTCAAATGGTGACTTTAAGACTAAAGGTAAGACAATCATGAGCCTGGCTTTGCTGGTACTGCCCCATGGATTTGGGTATTTACAGCCTGGAGAGAATTCATCTGTACAGATGACAAATATTGTTGGGTTTGCAGCCTCGGCTTGTAGGTTTAATGGAAGGATTTGACCATGAAGTGGAAGAGCAGCAGCTTCTGCAACAGCAAAGATGAAGCTGGGAGAGACCCTGCTGTGAGGCGAGTGGTAATAAAAGCATTTTACTTTCAGATTCAATTTGGTGCTGCAGATGAACTGGCTCCTCCACTTACAGCAACCACCCCGCTGTGAATATGAAATTAAATGTTGCTGCAGGTTTCAATCCAATCTCCCAAATTCCCAACACCAGGAGCAGATTTAGGGAGCTAATGAGGGTTTGTTTTGTACAGTTTGGAAATTGCTTGAACCAATCTGTGAACTCTTTCCCGCAGGTCACAAAGCGGGATGAGGGTAAACAGGGCAAGGGGAGCATTCAACAACGAGCAGGTTCTCCTCCACTTCAGAGCACCATAAGCAAAAGGGCCATCAAGGACAGCTTCACGAGTTTCATTCCTAAAGGCTGGCCAATGCATGCTCATTATAGAGGCAAAATCATCCCTAAGAAAACAACCACAGAAGTATTATTATCATCACCCTGCCTACAGCCTGAGTCATAGAGCTGGGATCTACCACACTGGTAGAAACACGTAACAGAGGCAGGTGGGATTCATCACACCCAACGTGGTAGAAACACAGAATCATGGAATTGTTTAGCTTGGAAAAGACCATTGTGATCATTGAGCCCATGACTGCCGAAGCCACCACTAAACCACATCCCTAAGCACCACGTCTACCCATCTTCTAAACACCTGCAGGGATGGTGACTCCACCACTGCCCTGGGCAGCCTGCTCCACTGCCTGACAACCCTTTCTGTGAAGAAGTTTTTCCTCATATCCAACCTAAACATTCCCTGGCAGAACTTAAGGCTGCTTCCTCTCATCCTACAGGCTTCCTTTGTGGCCCAGTGCAGAGAAATGAGCTTTTTTGAGGGTTTTTATTCTCCAAGATGGACATTTATGGGTGCTCACATAAAACGTCTCCAGAAGTGCCCATTTATCCCTGCTGACTATCAAAGCAGTCCAGGGATGCAGCTCAGGTGAAGACACCTACACTGCTCATGTCTCAACGCAGCCAAGACAAGCGGTTTCAGCGCAGTACAGGTTTGGGACGTTCCCGTATTGAGATCCAGACTAAGGGACAAATCCAGATTGCCTATTTATCTGAGGTTTCTTCTTCCAGAGTACTCCCTCCATGCAGCTGATGGAGCTTCCCAACAAGGCAGGGGAAGCTGGACACCAGGATACATCACACCACAAGGGCTGCTAACATCCCGCAACACGAAACTGGGACAGAACACTGAGAACAGGAGAGTAACCTTACTCAGGGCTCTACTACACCTCTGGCAGCACTTCCTCCATCCCTCTTCTGCAAATGCCAGGAATTCCTGCTATATATTTTCCTCCTGGTTTTGTTTCCAGCATCAACAACATGATCTCAGCAAAAGGAGAGTTTGTGATGTGGAAACCGAACCAGACACTGTCAAAAGAGCAACTGCGTAATATTGAACCCAGGTTTCTGCTTCCTTTTCTTTTCTTGCTTGACTCAAAGTATCCACCAAGACAGCAATATCAAATCACAGGAATTTCTGAAATAAGCCCCGCTTTATTTTTGTTTTTCCTTTCTGATTACCTTGAAGCCAATTAAATGGTTTTCAATGCCTGAAGCTGGGAACGACCCAGGTCTACCTTTACCATCTATATCTTCATCCCTCCACATCTTAACCCAGTTTTAGAGCAGTAAATACATCAGGAATTCAAGAAGCTCTTCCAATTAATTTGGAGAGGGAATTTTTATGAAATAAAGGAGTATCTGGAGTGCAGCAAGCAAGGGGAACGTTGGCTGCAACAAGTGCAGAGGAGGCCATGGAGATGCTGCGAGGGCTGGAGCAGCTCTGCTCTGGAGCCAGGCTGAGAGAGCTGGGCTGGGGCAGCCTGGACAAGAGAAGGCTCCTGAAGGGGAGACCTGAGAGCAGCTCCAGTGCCTGAAGGGGCTGCAGGAAAGCTGGAGAGGGGCTTGGGACAAGGGATGTAGGGACAGGGCAAGGGGAATGGCTTGAACCTGCCCGAGGGGAGACTGAGATGAGCTCTTAGGCAGAAGCTCTTCCCTGGGAGGGTGCTGAGGCGCTGGCACAGGGTGCCCAGAGAAGCTGTGGCTGCCCCATCCCTGGCAGTGTTCAAGGGCAGGTTGGACACAGGGGCTTGGAGCAAGCTGCTCTAGTGGAAGGGGTCCCTGCCCGTGGCAGGGGTTGGAGCTGGAGGAGTTTTAAGGTCCCTTCAAACCCAAACCAGGCTGGGATCCTATGACACCCCCTAAACATTGCTGAGCAGCTCTCTAGGCTTCATTAACTGTGTTGGCAAGACCTCCACTGATTTAAGGGATTCAGCTTTCCCAGCTTCCATCAGCATCGGGACAATCCCTGACCGCTGCAGTTGGAGTTGGCTGCTCCAACTGACCTAGAAAGCCAACTTGGAAGTAGGGACTGGTTCCAAAGAAGCTTCTCCTTCAGCCCTCAAATCACCAGATTGCTGAATTAGAGCACTAATTGGATCTGATGAGTCCCATCCAGCTGAAGTGTAGAAAAGAGCATTAGGAGAAGGAAGGAAAAAAATCAATTCATTAGGGCTGAGGGGTGAAGATGGAGGCAGAGGGATGGAAAACTGGGCTGATTACCAACTGGAGCTCTACCAAGTCAAGGAGAACAGAATGGAGGAGTATAAGGGAAGGGAAAGCATTAACAATCCAAATGGAGAAGGAAGATAGAGAGGAGCAAGAGAAAGGAAAAGAGGAAACCTGAGTGACCCCTGAGATGACTGAAGAAGGGATGACCACAGCAGCCCCACAGTTGGATGCTTCAATGGAAGAAAATAGTGTCATGTGGAAAAAGAAGCAAGACTGCAGGAGAGG